ATCACAACCATCTATTGTTTCTCCTCGTGTTCTTTTATTTTAGGTAAGACAATATATTCCTACCTTTTTATATTTTGTTATTTTGTATAATATTATGATATTACATTCATTTAATTACAAGTTGCTTTTATATACCATGCATGTAATTCTGGATAATAGGATGCGTTTTGGGAGATGGATATGTGAGAGTTGGATGAGTGCTTCAGTTGGTATTTTGGATACAATCTATTACATCTGTATCAAAATCAATGTTATTACAACATAAAGCTATAGTTGGTAATCATTAAGGTAATACAGTATAGCATATATGATTTGAGTACTTTGGATACATTAATGTTGGAAATGTACATATCGATATACAGCTATATAAGTGTAGGCAAACTTAAAGCGGATAATGATTTAGATGTGAATAGGTCCTGGACCATGATAGTGTGTGTTGTGTCACCAAGTTGACATTGAATGTGAAAGTGGCTATAGCCATTTGGAGGTATATGTGAACAAACCCATAGTTATTGTCAAGAGTACTAGTGAGCATTGCCAGTGTGTTAAAGACGTAAATATATCAGATGTAAACAGGGCCTAGGTCCACATAAATTCTTGGGCTGGCAGAGAGATAGCCTTTAAACAAGGCCACATGCCTGATAGACGCCGAGCGACTAAAAAGAGACTAATCGCGAAAACCTGAATGAACGCCAGTGCGAATTGTCCAGACCTGTGGCCTTTATCAATCTGGTTTGGATTTCTTATGTTAACCCTTGTTTCCGACTGGAACTCGCTTCAGAAAACGTAGTGTCAAATCAGCGAACGTATCCTCGCACGACGTCAGCATATAGTATCCATCACACACACACACACACACACACACACACACACAGAGAGTAAACTCTACGTAGTGCGAACATGGACCTACATGCCTACTATACATACGTGCTAAGACCACTGACCTCTACATGGAACGAATCACGAACGAAGCCAACTGGGAGATCGCCGTTCTGATTGGTCAATAAATCCAAAGTAGGCGTATTGGCAAGCTAATATGTATCTATGAATAATTTATGCGGAGCAGTGAAACTCACTTTGCAAAAGGCCTCGTGACATTCGTCACTCGGTCGCGCGTTCACCCGGGGTATCTAGACTCATCTCAGCCGCTTAGCCAGAGTCTCGAGGCCTTGTCAAAAGGCTATCAGAGAGAGAGATTAGAGAGAGATAACGACCATGCATAGCGAGGAGACCAGTAATCTCCTTCTAGTAAGGTTAGTCTGATTAATCAGACCCGCTAAGTATTTATATATTCTTTTGTACAGTAGCTATTTACTTCTAATGTAGTGTGTCATGCAGAAAGGGGAACGTGATAGGTTCTGCGTTGTAAAGACTAGGGTTCAGCCATAAAGAGGCTGAGAAGTAGAATAGTCACTGAGAGAGTGATAACTTTCCCCCTAGTTATAAAATGCATGTACTGGTATAGGGAGAGAATTCCTTTTTCGCCCTCCTTTTGGAGAGAGCTGTTGTTTAATTATATGATTATTATACTTTGTTAGAATCAAGGTAGCCATTTTGTTTTCACTTGTGAGCAGGGGCGTACGCAGGATTTTTTCAAGGGGGGGGGGGTTTAAAATATTGCTCCCGAAAATTTGAAAATCGCGCCGGCCGAAAAGTCGCTCAGTGGGGGGGGGGGGGGGTAAGCGGACACTTTTTTTTTCTTCGTTGGGGGGGTAAGGTCACCTTATTTTGGTTAGCCGTGGGTATAATTTTTTTTTTTTTTTTTTTTTTTTTTAATAAAAAAAAAAAAAAAAAAAAAACCAAAGGGGGGGGGGGGGGTTTAGGGGGGTTTACATACATAAAAATACCAAAGGGGGGGGGGGTTTGAACCCCCAAAACCCTCCCCCTGCGTACGCCCCTGCTTGTGAGACTCCCCCCCCCAAAAAAAAAAAAATTGGAGTTTACTTTATTCAGAGCATAATAGTTTGAACCATGTTTGATATTTTACCTAAATTAATCCATTATTTATAACCTGTGCTTTTATATAGAAAAGGAAAGAGAAAAGTCCTTTAAGTATTTTGATGTTGCTTTACCAATTCAATTAGGTTATTATGATTGGTATGAATTGATTAGTACTGATTTAGATTCATATGAAAGACTTCGTTATGAATGAACCTGTAAATACATGTACACCCACAACAAAAAGTGAGTCATTTGACACATTTAAGCATAATTTTCGTGAGTCAGGTGTAAATTGACTCATTAGTAACAACCAATGAGTCTCTATATTGACTCATTTATATTTCACCAGTGTGTCAATCATGAGCTGACGCATTTGCAAAATGCTTCGACTGACTCACATGGTCGTAAAAAATGAGTCAAGATCGACATAAGAGCATTTTAGAAGCAAAAAGTGAGTCAACTTGAAAGTGAGGCTGTATGCATGCGCGCGCATGCTTTCGTGACGTCATCCAAAATGCGCATTCTCGAGCCATATTTGAATTCCCGATCGACGACGCGACGTCGCCATCTTATATCTTGGATTCAGAAGAGTTTTGACTGCAGCTAGTGAAAAATTGGTACGCATAATTATTCATATGGTTTTAAACGATGATTTTTATGACTGGATTCGTGGGCTGAATCTTCTGATTATTATACAAATGATGCATGCGTTCATTTTACGATATCCGCACTCGAGTTGATGAGGCTGTGTGTAACTTAACTATATCGCACGAAGCCGTGTCGAATGAAAACATGCATGATCTTGCATCATTGTTTTATACAACGAAACTCCTAGATCCTTGTTATTTGATGTAAAACGAATTAATTCAAGATTGTTTCGTGACAGTATGGGTGACAAATAAATCTCAAGTTAAGGCTTAATTTAGTGCGTACAAAGTAGATTTTTCAGATTCGGGTAGCGGGACCACCGATTACATCGCTAAAATGTGATATTTTAAGATATATTTTCCATTGCAAATGTGGACAGTGACTCTGGCATGGTATGGTATGTGTGTGATAGGCCTAGGGAGTAGGGGGGTCTATGTCATGATGCACCCACAACAAAAAGTGAGTCACCCTCACTCAAATTGATGAGTCACTGGTTTGTCCGTACAGCGAAACACTTGAAGGATCATGTGAGTCACTATGACTCGATACAAGACTCATTTGTATCGAGTCATATTGACTCACATGATCCTTCAAGTGTTTCGCTGTACGGACAAACCAGTGACTCATCAATTTGAGTAAGGGTGACTCACTTTGTTGTGGGTGTAGTTATTTAGCAGTTTAGTCATTTTGATTATTATGATGGACATGAAAGGGATTAGGAGGTTAAATGTCTAATAGTCACAAAATGAGTTATTACAATTGCTTTTTATATTACCTAGATAATGATTGGATGAGTCAATGTTATCATGGGTAAAGATTATTTGCCTTGATACTGTCTATGAATACAGTATGTTGTTTATTATTATCGTTTCTGTGTTTATTATATTGATAATAAGTGGCCATTCCACGTCTTGACACTATAGCATCACAACCATCTATTGTTTCTCCTCGTGTTCTTTTATTTTAGCACCCTATACCACTAAGGGGGCGTTACAAATGAATACAATGTTTACAAAAGTAATTGAATGAAAAATCATGTACAATTATATCATTCGATAAACATGTACGAAGCATACAATAACATAAAACATATGAAATATTTTCAATAAATTAGAGAGGTAATTTGGAACGCAGGAGACCACCATCGTGAGCGGTTAGGCTCGAGATGGATGGATTGTGTACATCAATAACCCACTTCTTGTAATGGCCAAAATTAAACTGATTCAATCTTTGTGTAGCATAAAACGAACGACCATTCGGTACAATGGTCTGAAAATCAGACTATTACTTACTGGCGCTATAGGTATTAAGTCGATTCGACAGCTAATAGTTGTTATTTTCCAACTTAAAAACATTTTCAAGACCCCCCCCCCCTTTTTTTTTAGGGAAGTTCTAAATAAGTATTATCTTTCAAATGCCGTTGGAATTTAACCTTTTCATTTTTTTTTTTGGCCTACAAAAGGGAAATAGTACCTTTAAGTAGCAAACAATGACCACTGGTCCAGCACTGATCAATGAACGAAATACGTCCAGTGTTGTGTGAAGTTCAAAGTGTCATGACCAGTCATATACCAGTGTAGTTCAACTCCAGAGTGAAATCCAAAATCAAGAACTTCCAATTTAGAAGCTAAATCATACCTTGATTTAGTACAATTTTAGTCTAGAAGGATCACTGAACTATAACAGAATAGAATTATATGACATAAATAAAATACACAATCTTGACTGTTGAACAAAATAATTATCACTATAAAGAAGAGCTAAGTGAAAATGGGGCCAACCATATGCGTATACCAAAATCAAAAGGAGTTTAGCCATGAAGGATTATGTTTTGTTCTTCAAGATTTAACTATCACCTCTACTCGTGGACTAAAGATGAACTTTCTTGGTCACATGATAATTAGTGATAGGAAATCATCAACACCAAATGGACATGCAAGCATCATAACATCTGCATTCCACTTCATATACAAACGAAATTAACTGATAAGAATCCTTCGAGTTGTTCCATGTTCCTCTCTTTCTATAATAAGGCAAGAAAAAGAATGCATTATTGAAAGTGGATTGTTCATAATAAATTCAGAATTATCATAGATTCCAAGCAAACGGAAGGGGAGCTTGCATGATATCAGCCCCTCCCCCGGCCCCCGCTAGTGATAGTTTATGGGGCAAAGTTCATTTTGACAATCACTTTTTTAAAGCGACGGAGTATAGGAATGGTACCCTTTTGTCAAAATTATTTTTATTTGACATCAAAATATAGAAAGGTACAAAGAAATGCTTTTGTTCAACAATGGAATTTGTGTTTGGTCCATGGTTCATCAGTCATGTATAGGCCTGCTTTTCCGTGGCCGTGCATTCTGGGGGAATCTTCTTCTTCTCCGTCAGGTTTGAAGATTCTTGCAGATAGTTGACTCGGTGTCTGTGCGTTGCTGAGTTCGAGTGCAGCGTTCATACTACAAATGTATTTTTATAAGGTGCAAGTAAAAAGCGGTTGGAAAGGAACAGTTTGAAATCAAGTTTCCATCGACTTTTCTCTTTTAATAGGCTGGTATATAATCATAATATCATATGTAAATATGGTCGACCATACCAGGGAGTCTGAATTTGGTTTTCATCAGTCGGCCTGTCCGGCTGAAGAAAGGGTTGCAGCTGCTACCACTTGCAAGGATATGGACAAAATGAATATAATTTATGACCAGTGGGCTTTCTTCTATGACGAGGTAGGTAAGATCAGTGTTTTTACATGTTCATACTTTGTATGATAAACGTATCAGGACAATTACTCCCTGGACAATCACACCCCCAAAATCACCCCCGGAAAACTATCCAAAGGACAATAGCCCCCCGGAAAATTACCCCCCCCCCCCCAAGGACAACCACTTCCCGAGGACATTCACCCCCTAGGACCGAATTGAATTGAATTGATGAAAATAAATTATATTGGGGAGACGGGGGTTACTTGGGCCATCACCGCACAGATAGAGAACTAAGCGTGTATTTTCTTTAATACGGTACAGACTAGGCGTGCACGCTGCGCTGGTACATAAAATTGACAACATGCATAATATCACGAAATGAATCACTGATATGTTGCCAATCTATGTAAAAACGAGTTGATTTTGAGACTAATTTCTTGCTTGCTTGAAATATGAATTTAAAGGATGCAAGTGAAATCATGAATTTTTTTATGCGACATGTCCAAATATAAGCAAATATATATCCGGAACAATGAAAACTAAATAATATGGAACAGAATGATGCGTTTCATTTGAATTGACATCATATCATTAATTTCATTTCATTTATTCATTTTCATATTTTCCATGTTACATATTACATTTCAAAATATAGTTCAAGTTTTTTTTTGTAATTAGATAACAGTCAATTATACATAATAAATAACAAAGATAAGTGGTCATTCTTGAAATATTAACAATCATATTACTTCTATCAATTCATCTAAAAATATGTTTAAATCGTTTCCAATGAACGATATGGGTGCGTAAAGTCTCTTGCTATTTTTTTAAATTTTAACTTAAATTAAATTCTGTACAACGCACCCTTTCGAGAACGCCCCCCCCCCCCCCGCTTGTCTCGAAAGGTTGGAAATATGCGATTTGTATACGATCTGTTTAGCAAGGAAATGTAATTTTGAGGCCTTGACCACCCCGCATCGATCTAATCACATGAATCAGAAACTTTGTAATTCGGCATTACATTTTCTGAGAAATTAACCCCCCCCCCCCCCCCCCACACTTATCCTCCATCGTTCTCGTGACCCCTCCATGGTTAGGCTCACGCTACACCATTAGTTGTGTATTTTTTTTTTTTACAACCATAACATGATTTGTTTTCTTCATTTGCTTCTCCCTGGTATGAAGGACATGAAAGCTCTTGGTTTTCAAGGATACGGAGTCATGGGTAAAAGGATTGCCGAGCTTATTGGCAACAAGAACGCCAAGATCTTAGACATCGGATGCGGTACCGGGCGCTTCGGGTCGGAGGTGAGAAACACTTGTCATTTTTGAACAAACTACCGTTAAGATTTATTTTATTTATTTATTTATTATTTATTCGGCTTCACAAAAAATATAACAATGTAAATATAAGTAAACGAACATTAAGAGATTATCACTTATAAATGCACAATATTCCTGGAGGTCCTCTGAGTGCATCAGTTGGCTGCCGGGGAAGAGGAAAGCAAACTAAATCACTGTAACCGTAATGGTCCCTCTTACCGACCAACTGGTACACCCAGAAGACCTGCAAAATACAGCATGAAGGTAATTAAAATGTATAACATTTCATTATAAAACCAGCTAACAAAAACAAAGCACAAGGAGGAAATCAAATTAATATGTATGATGACACTGTAGGTCATGACACGATACTGAATATAAACATGAGGAATTAAGTCTGGCTTAAAACTATTGCATAAAATGTCAAGTAGGTAAACTGAAACCATGAAGTATAAAACTGTTGTAAGAATACAAAGATTATGTAACATTATGCTACAGTGCTTTCTGTTCGCTAGTTGTCTTACTTCAAACTTGAACGCCGCACTGTACATGTTAACCTAAACCCTACCCTTAGTCTAAACTTGACCATATAAATCTTGTTAGAATAAAACCCAGACTAAGTGTCGGTATGACATATGAATGAAAACAAAATTACAATAAAACAAAAAAGTTGCTCTAGCCCCCCCCCCCGCTTATTTGCTGGCTGACTGAGTCGCCACTAAATATTTCCTCACAAATTGCCCCCCCCCCCCCACTCTTGTCGCCGGCTAGATCCGCCCCTGATCTGGGATATCGCACGTCCTCTTCAATTCAAATTGAAAGAGAATGACAGTAATATGCTAGAGCAGCTAGACTATATTTATTGGGTGCAAAATATCGTTCTCTGTGAAAATATTGATTTTACTTTTATTCGGTTTTGACTGTATCGTGTAGAATAAGACGATTTCTGGACCTTTGGTCAGATCTCACTTTTTTGGAACGCACGCAAAATTTGAGATCTTTCAACAATAACCGGAGAATTCTCTTTCCAGTATAAGGGACAAGGAAATATTAGGTCCCTTTTCCCATCAGTGGTAGCAAAATTTGAAATATTACTGAAATGAAAATGAAAGAAGATGCAGTTCGCGAATTGGTCACGAGCTCTTTAACCATCACAACAGCACATTTAAACCATCTAATTAGAATGGCGATGAGATGTAAAAAATATTTTAAAATGTAAAAGAAGGAATAGCATTTTGTATGTTAGGAATAGAAATGATGCTCTTACTATGCTTTTTACTTTAGACTTGATTTTCTCTCATTTCTCTCACAAAAATATCAGCTTCGCTCACTTGGATACAACAATATTCACGCTGTAGACGGAAATCACAATTTCTTGGAGAAAAGTCGTGAGAGACGAGTCTATACAGAACTTAAACAGTTCATGTTTGGCCCCAACGTCATTGCACCTTACGAAGATGGTATGCAATATAAGAATAAAAAGAGCCTGTTATCTTTACCATGACGTCACTCAATGCGACACTTTAAAGATAATTATTTTACCATGTATTGACTATTCATGCACAGTCTGGGGAAATTGCTCAAGGCAAAATAAAGAGTTACTCTTAAGATTACAAAAGAGAGCAGCACGTATAATTACATCCAGCTATGACTATGAAAATGTTAGAGGTGATGATTTAATAAAATTAATGAAATGGCAATCATTTGACGAAAGGAGAAATTATTTTTTAGCTGTTTTAATGTATAAATCTGTACATGGCATTGCACCAACACATCTATGTAATGCTATTGAAATGGTCTGCGATAGACATAACTTAAATACTAGAGCCGCTGACAAAACAAATGTAATATTACCAAAACCTAATCTAGAATGCTTTAAGAACAGTCTTATGTACTCAGGAGGAGTTATCTGGAACTCATTACCTATTAACTTACAGAATTCTACATCTATTTCTTCATTCAAATACCTTTATAAAAGATTGTACTTTCATTAATGTTGTAAATAACCAGTATCCTCATGGATGTGTGTATATATATTTTTTTTTTACCCTACTGTAATAAATACAAGTTTGTTAGTTTTGTTTTTTCTTACATTGTTTCAAATCATTCTTTTTGTGATCCTGGGTAAACCTTTGAATGTAAATATATGTATCCAGTTGCTGGTTATTTTATAAAATGTTATATTATTCAATATTCATTAATCTATTCATGTATTGTATTTCATTGTTTGTATTTTACCATGTATGTATATACAGGACCAATATGAAAACAGCCTTGGTTGATATTGTCATCCTGTATAAATATTTTTAAATAAATAAATAAATAAATAAATAAAGTTGAGTTATAATGACGCGATTACGTTGTAAAAGAAACTATATAGACACAATTATGGGGAAAGGTTTATTAGAAGAACATTAGGTATGTGATTGTATAAGGCTATAGCTTGGATATTATTATAATAGCAGGGCCATCAAGGAGAACAGGATTAATACTGATGAGGATACCCTGTATGGGTTATTAAGAAATAAAATAAAACATGTAGTAGTAGTAGTAGTAGTAGTAGTAGTATAGCAGTAACAGTAGTAGTAGCGGTAGCAGTAGTATAGTAGTAGTAATATCAGTAGTAGCAGTAGTAGTAGCAGTAGTAGTAGTAGTAGTAGTAGTAGGAGTAGTAGTAGAAGTAGTAGTGATAGTAATAATAGTAGCAGTAGTTGTAGTAGCAGCAGCAGCGACAAAAGTAGTGGTAGTAGTAGCAGACATCAATATTTCATGGTTACATTTTTAGGTAAAACGCTGTGGCCCACCTATATGTAAAATGGTAATGTTATCAATTCAACCAAAAGTTGTCACCCTTGGTAGAACATTGCTTTTCAGGTCATCCTCTTTGGGATACCTATAACGAAGCTTTACTTTTCATAATTTAAAATGTCACAAACTAATTTATTCGACACCTACATGATTGTCTATGCAGGTGCTTTTGATACAGTGGTAGCTGTCTCTTCTTTTGGACCGGGGGTAGTGGCTCACACTGCAATGCCGGAGATAAGCCGACTGGTTGCGACAGGTAAGATTATGTGCCAACGAGGCATCACTCCTCTGCGCCAGTTGACTCGTTCTGATCTCAAAACGAAATCATGTACAAGGCCCACTGCACACGAGGCGTTCTTTACAATAACGGCATTCACGGAAATTCAGGCATAATAATGCAGAGAATGGGTCCTGTTTCATAAAATGTTATGAGCTAGTTTTCTAGCCTCCTTACATTACTACCCCAGACAAATACCCCAGACAAATACCCCAGGGGATAGGTGTCCTAGAACTACCCCCTAGAACAACTTCCCCCTTGGATTACCCCCCGGACAACTACCCCCCCCCCGACAACAACCCTCGCCAACAACCCCCTGGGACAACTAACCCGGACAACTAACCCAGACAACTACCCCTTAGGATAGTTGTCCTAGAGGATGGTGGCGAAGGGGTAGTTGTCTGGGGGTAGCTGTCCGGGGGTAGTTTTCCTAGGAACTAGTTGTCCGGGGGTAGTTGTCCAGGGGGTAGTTGTACTAGGGGGTAGTTGTCCTAGGGGGTAGTTGTCCTAGGGGTAGTTGTTTGGGGGTAGTTGACCGGGGGTAGTTGTCCGGGGGGGGGTAGTCGTCCTAGAGGGTGGTTGCCCTAGGGGGTAGTTGTCCTAGGGGTAGTGGGGTGGTTATCCGAAGGTGGATGTCCAGGGGGTAGGTGTCCTAGAACCCTCCCTCGTGCATCACTAAACATTTAGAATCGTATTTTGACGTCAGACAGTATATTGGAATTGTCTACGATTCAAAGCCCATTCGGCTTTTATTCTGAGAAGGGTTAATTGCACAGAAATTCAGGATGTAAGCATTCTTGTGACGATTTAGATTCTAAATCAGGAAGATGATGTCTGTTTAGATTTCCATATCTAATATCTTTGTAATTGCCATTTCTTCAAAAACCGGATCGCAGGAGGATCTTCAAATTATCATAATTGTTTTTATCTGGGAGTGATTGTCTAAGATGCAGAACCTTGTCCTAAAAACGTTTGGTGCAAAATAAACCTATTTATATTATCATCTGTTTTGCTATGATACAGGTGGATATTTGATCCTGTTTATACGGAAGTCAAGGCTAGAGATGGAGACAGAACGCTTCAACGTCAAAGCAGTGTTTGAAGAGTGGGTCGCGAGTGGAAAATGGGAGAGACTTAGTGATATCAGCTCGGTTTACTACGCGGGTACTGACGGGGTGGACAATGATGACCGTGTGGTGGAGCGTGATGGCGTCATCGTTACCCTGCGAAAGTTAATCAATTGAAGATCGTACCAGTGGCGTTTATCCAGCGTAGAATGGGGGGGGGGGGGGGGGGGGGGGGGGGGGGGGGGGGGGGGCAGTGTTCCCAAATTTCTTCTGTTTTTTTTTTTTTTGGGGGGGGGTCGAAAGTGTATAGGGTAAGGATTAGGGAAGCAATTAGAGTTTAGGTCAGATTTCGGGTTAGCAGGTTAGGGTGGGATTATTAATTTCGTGTTGGTCCTGGGTTGAAGGTAGGAATTCGGTTAGTGTAGGAAATTGAAGGCAGAGGAGTTAGTGTTGCAGGAGCATATAGCGTCAAGTGTAGGGTTATGGTTAGGGTTACAATTGGAGTTTAGTTTAAACTTCGGCTTGCATCTCGTATATAAAGTATTCAAAGCTGCCATCCACTTCCATCCGCTTTCATCCGCTAGGCTTCCGATGAACATCAGTTTAACATCCCCGCTACATACTACCCACGTCCGTTATTTTCCGTTCTGTTTTCGCAAATTTTCGCAAATTTTGTCCATTTCTGGAGCGGATGAAAACGGATGGAGCCACACCCGAAATTGTGCTCGTCCGCCGTGTCCGTTATGCATACGTTTTGTGTCCATCGGCCAGTGGGACCGGGCAATTAGGCTTGTTAAAAGATTTGTAGACATAAAATGTCGAAAATTAAGTCATTGTGAAAGTTTTTCTAAATCTCATTTAACATTTCTCGAAAGTAACACCTCATTGAGCCCTTTGTAGCCCCCTTACAATTATGACCTTTTAAAATAAAATATTATATTCAAAGTGAAGATCGAGGGATCTTTTGTTTTGTTGTCTAGTGTTACTGGCGGTTTTTTATATTATCATTTGTATGTTTTCATTCAGTTCACAGTCTTAAAAAAAGGCGTATATGTACGGTGAGTTACCATGTTTGAATAAATAAATATTTAGACAGGACATCTGGGTTCCCTGGTGAAATTGTGCCCGTGTACGCCTATGATCTTTTATTTTTATTTTTGTATTAATAATCTTCTAAAGTCCACTCCAAATTTTATTAAGTTAAACCGAAAATGGAAATTCCTTTTGCCCAATTGATCGTGAGCCCGGCAGTCACTGAGCAGCGCCAGTTCGACGTTGCTCTATCCCTTATTGTTGAACGCCAAACAAGATGGCAGCAACTCCCGTCTTTTAACGTCTTTTAGTATGACGCGGCCGGGTTCCAACCCACGACCTCCCGGTTGAGAGGCGGACGCTCTACTGACTGAGCCAACACATCGGTGATAATGCATGATGTAAAGGCTGAATACAGTTCCATTTATGTCAGACTCGAGCTCGAGATTAAAAAAGTGGTAAATAATAGGAGAATGAGAGAGAAAGAGAAGGCGAGAGAATTGGCATATTATATTCAAAGAAAGCAAATGGGTAATATTCCCCATGACGACCTACCATGAAATTATTTGGAAGTCAAATATGATTACATTTCTCTTGAAATCCAGAATCGGACTAATGTTCTACAAATAAATTGAGCGTTGTTATTTGGAAAGTAGAGGCAGGAGGTGAGAGAAAGAAAAAGAAAGAGAGGGTGAGAGAGAAAGAAGGAGAGAGAGAGAGAGAGAGAGAGAGTGAAATGTAGACAGTTAAAGATAATTAAAAAAAAACAGAAAGATAGCAAGAGAAAGAGAGACAAAGAGAGCTGAATAGAGAGATGATGAAGATTGAGGGTCCAGGGTATAGAGACAAAATGTTAGAAGAATAAAGAGGTGGGTGACAGTGTGTTCAGGAACAAGAGCGTCACTTGACTAAAAGTTAGAGGGCGCCACCATCAACCGTCAATTTTTCACCTTCCCTACCTGGAGAAACGGAACTTTATTTCGCCTTCACCCTTGGTGACATTAAATCTCTTTGTTGTAATTGAAAGAAGAAAAAAAAGTGATTTATTCCTATGGCAAATTTGTAGAGATTAAGGAGCCGTTAAAGAAATAAAAGTCATTGTCATTGTCATTGTCAAACCATTCATTTGGCAGCACTAGTTCTAATCTAACAATATGACAATCTCTCTCTCTCTGCTTTCTCTCGCCCCCCCCCTTGCACCTCCACCTCCCCCCCCCCCCTCTCTCTCTCTCTCTCTCTTCCTCTCTCTCTCTCTCTCTCTCATCTCTCTCTTTCTCTCTCTCTCTTCTCTCTCTCTCTCTCTCTCCTCCTCCTCCTCCTCCTCCTCTTCCTCTTCCTCTTCCTCTTCCTCTTCCTCTTCCTCTTCCTCTTCCTCCCCTCACCTCCCCCTCCCTCCCCCCCCCTCCTCCTCCTCCTCCTTCTCCTCCTCCTCCTCCTCCTCCTCCTCCTCCTCCTCCTCCTCCTCCTCAGTTTGGCTCTAGCTAATTTATGAGCGGCGTTTAGGGGGAACACTACGTCATCCGGATAATTTCGAAAAATCGCAAACACAACTCATGTATTAGTAATATTAAAAGATCCTGCACGACAAAGTTAACAAAAGGTCAAATGTTGGACATTACATTCTTTTTTTAATGTTAGATCCTAAAACTAGAGATCATCGATATGCCCTCCCCCTACTCATCTATACCTAAAAAAATCCTACCCACTGTTCATAATCAATAAAACCCCATCAAATCAAGTATATAAACTCACATATATCCCCTTTCGAAAGCAGGCCATTGAACCAGTAAGTAGATGCAGGGAGGTGGGAAGCACTCCCTGGTAGGTGTATAGATTGACTAGGTGTGTCATTTTAAAATCCTGGATACGCCCTTGGTCCTAAGACGAGCCCCTGAATGTTAATCTGACCATAATTAAATGCAAACCTCTGAGCTTCCTGGACCCCACGCCAATAAGAGACCTGCGTGCCGGTGTCACAAATAAGGTATCGAAATATGCTTATCTGACCGTAATTTAATGCCTAGTACCCCTGAGCTTCTGGGAGCTCCACCCCTTGGCCCCCGCCCTGGACCCCACGTCAATTTACGCTCCACTCACTTCGTTCGCTACGCTCTACCTGATCGTTAATACTCCACTTTGAAAAACGTTCCGCGGGACCGGCATGTAACCAGTGGTGGTGATGGAGATTTTTCTTCTGCCCCCCCCCCCCCCAAAAAAAAAAAGTTTTTGCTCATTACGCCACTGCCCCTGAAAGATAAGCCCCCCTTGGCTCCCCCCATCCCAAACTACTTACGGCGCCCCTGGCTCTATTCTAATCGGTCAGTTGCAGTGGTGTTGCTGTAGTAAGAAAAATACTTTCCGATGTATTTCACTGAATTTGGCCAACATTTATTTGAGGTACCCCATAGACAATTCAGTGTGCTGGTGGTGGTGGCAGCAAATTCTATCTCAGGAGCAGCCAATGCACAAAGGAACAGAACAAAGAAAAGATGGCAATGCTTGAAGTTCAAGTCCCCCATTGTGCTGTCCCAATGCATTAACTATATAGCAAACAATCACCACTGGCCATTAAAAGAGTCCAGCACTGATCAATGAATGAAGTCCAGCGACGTGTGAAGCTCAAAGCGTCATGGGCATATTATATTATATAGCTATATACCAGTGTAGTTTAACTCCAGAGTGAAATCCAAATTCAAGATCTTCGAATCGCAGCTAAATTACACCTTGATTTAGAACAAATTTTGTCTAGAAGGATCACTGAACTATAACAAAACATACATGACATAAATTACACCTTGATTTAGAACAAATTTTGTCTAGAAGGATCACTGAACTATAACAAAACATACATGACATAAATCAAATACACAAACCTGACTGTGGAACAAAATAATTATCACTATAAAGAAGAGCTAAGTGAAATTAAGGGGGCCACCCATAGGCGCACACCAAAATCAAAAGGAGTTTAGCCATGAAGGATTATGTTTTGTTCTTCAAGATTTAACTATCACCTCTACCCGTGGACTAAAGATGATTTTTCTTGGTCACATGATAATTGGAGATAGGAAATCATGAACACAAAATGGACATGCAAGCAACATAAAATGTTAATCGCCAGAGTCATTAAGAGTATATAGCTTAACTGCTCAAGGGGTATTTGCATTCCACTTTGTATACAAACGGAATTAACTGATAAGAAACCTTCAAGTTGTTCCATGTACATCTCTTTCTATAATTAGGCAAGAAAGAGAATGCATTATTGAAAGTGGATTGTTCATAATAAATTCGGAATTATCATGATTCATAGTCTTAATGCCTAAATTAATGCTTTAATAATACATGTGTTTAGAGCTTGTTCATACGTAGAATCTGCAATCATGACTTGAGTATATTTCAAAAATACATATCAAGATTTATAAACCTTCTAATACATGTTGCAGAAGCAGAAAATGAGAGAAACAGGTCAGTGAAAGTTTAAGCAAATTCCTATTCAAAATAAGGCAGTTATTAATTTTTTTGATCAATCAAACACAAATTAGAATGTGACGTATCATGCGAGCTCACCTCTCATTTGCTCAGTACTAAAAACTCAGATATTTTTAATTTCCCCTCGAAAAACTTTTCAATGATACATACACCCTAAATATAATGATATGCAAATATGATTCTATACTACCCCTGCAAGGAAAATATATTCCGGAATATTCTGCACAAAGCAAACGGAAGGGAAGCTTGCATTATACCAGCGCCCCCCCCCCCCCCCCCCCGCCGGGGGAATTTTTTTATTCCCAAACAGATTTGCAATTTCTTATATTTCCGTTCTTCTCAATGGCTGATCTGTTCTACGTCATTGGCAGCTTGGAAAGAGGTCACGAACAATTAGACTTTGATTTTGTATTGCTTTGCCTCACTATTTATAAAGGCAAAAAAACTGAATAAACTGAGACTTGACCCACATTTTTTAGATTGTAATACGCTGACCTTACCGATTGAGCCAACGATGGGTTGATGAAAAGAGATTCTGCATGATTTCTATAACCCTATCACTCATTGCTAATGACGTAACATATCAGCCAATCAGATGACCGGAAATATTAGCATTGGCAAATCTGTTTGGGTAAAAAAAATTAGCCCCCCGGCCCCCGCTAGTGATATAGTTTATGGGGCAAATTTCATTTTGACAGTCTTGGTACCCTTTTGTCAAAATTGTTTTGAATTGAGATCAAAATATAGAAAGGTACAAAGAAATGCTTTTCTTCAACAATGGAATTTGTGGTATGTCCATGGTTCATCAGTCATGTATAGGCCCCGTATAGGCTTGCTTTTCCGTGGCCGTGCATTCTGGGGGAATCAGAATGGCGGATAATCGTGACACCCTTTCCACGTAGTGTTTATAGAGTTCATCTTCTTCTTGGGGTAACACCAGCCCCCTCCAGGTTTGAAGATTCCTGCAGATAGTTGACTCAGTCTGTCTCAGTGTCTGTGTGTAGCTGAGTTCGAGTGCAGCGTGTATACTACAAACGTATTTAAAAGGTGCAAGTAGAGAACGGTTGGAATAGAAGAGTTTGAAATCAAGTTTCCATCGACTCATATGTAAATATGGTCGACCATACCAGGGAGTCTGAATTTGGTTTTCATCAGTCGGCCTGTCCTGCTGAAGAAAGGCTTACAGCTCTCATCGCTTGCAAGGATATGGAGAAGGAGAATAAGATGTATGACGAGTGGGCTTTCTACTATGACGAGGTAGGTTGAATCATACATTGTATGATAGACGTATGATAGACGTACCTGCAGGACAATTACCCCCCCCCCCCCCCCCTGGACAATCACACCCGAGAAATCACCCCCGGAAAACTATCCAAAGGACAATAGCCCCCCAGAAAATTACCCCCTCCCCCCAAGGACAACCACCTCCCGAGGACAATTACCCCCTAGGACCGTACAGTGCCCGCCCCCCCCCCCACTCCGTGTTATTTAGGGTACGCATATGCGTGTTCCCAGCGACCCCCCCCCCCACCCTTTCAGCAAAAGTCCGGTGTGTACCTTTTTATTTTGTTATACGAGCCTTTTTTAGCACCCCCCCCCTCTTTTTCAGCAAAAGTCCGGTGTGTAAAGTCAATACGGGTAGACCTTTTTCTTTTGTTACGAGCTGGAGAGTTTGGGAACACGCACGGTATCCCGCCGTTCACGGCCTGGGGGCCCGGGTGCAATGTAACTGTATGTTTTGCCTGATTCGCACACTAGCAGTTTCAGGCGGGCAATATTTCCTGATATTTTCACTCTTCCGGCTTTTGCAATTGACTTGTTTACTGCAGAGAGGTGAAAGAAAGGAGTGGAATCAAGCCGCTTTCCTTTGACCCCATGCATGCTCCAAGCCCCCAAAAAGTTTTGCGCTAAATCTGCAACTGTTGACCAGGTGGTGAGATAAAAGAGCGCATGGAATTTCAGGATTTAGAATTCCTACATCAGAAAATGGTATCACAGCAACTGTTCGCTGTCCCTTTCAATGATTTCTCATCAATTGTTGAATGTGTAATGAGTAGAGCAAGCGAACACAAACTGGTATAATTTCATCCTTTTATCCAACTACAAAAATACAAAAAACACACGAAAACACGCATTAGCAAACTTAAGGTTATCGAAGATTGTAAATCATGGATTAAATAGCCGGACAATAAAACATGCACAAATTAGCGCATTGTCCTAAAATATTGAGTATTTGTCAGGATCTAATTTTCCTTTTACCAACTCTGGCGCACAAATTGTAGGAAGGGCGGAGTACTAAATTTGAAAAATTGTTTGATGCACTATTCCCAATACAATCCCCATATAAAGTTTATAATTTACACTGAAATTTTGTCGGTAACTTAATATTTTGTAATAAATGTGAAACTGGTGCCTGGCCTCCGAATTTCCCGCAGTAGAAGCGCGGCTCGGAGCATGGAACTTCAAAGCCAAGTAGAAAATTACACATCCCACGTTCCAGTGTTACGCTTTAGCACTCAAGAACGTGATATCACAAATTCCTATTGGTTTATCACATCAACCCGATTTTTTTATATCAAGAAATCGAATTTGTGATATCACAAATTCAACTTTTGATATTACAAAATTGAAAAGGAATTCTAGCACTCACCTTGTGCAGAAATTCACAGGCAATTCGATCATTAGTTTTGTGCACAAATTCAGCTCAACTGGGTATTCGCGCGTTACTTGTGTTCTCAAATTCATGGGGTATTCTTTGGTGCAGGAATTAATTCAGATAGGAATTCTAGTATTTACTTTGCACAGAATGTTATACAATTTAAAATACAAATTGTCCTCGCCTGACCTGTTGCCACCTAGTGCCATTTTAAATTTAAACTGCTAAATAATGAGATTGATTGAATTTTTTCCTCTGACATTTTTACACCGAACCATGCGTGGGTTGTAACGCACCCTTTCGAGAAAAGTCCCCACCCCCCCCCCCCTCCGCTTGTCTCGAAAGGGTGTAAACATGCGCTTTTTATACGATTTGTTTAGCAAGGTAATGTAATAAATTAGAGGCCTTGACCACCCCGCACTGCTCTAATCACATGAATCAGGAACTTTGTAATTCGGCATTACATTTTCTGAGAAATTAACCCCCCCCCCCGCCCTATCCTCCATCGTTTCCGTGACCCCTCCATGGTTAGGATCACGCTACGCCATTAGTTGTGTATAGTTGTTTTTTTACAATCATAACATCGTTTGTTTTCTTCATTTGCTTCTCCCTGGTATGAAGGACATGAAAGCTCTTGGTTTTCAAGGATACGGAGTCATGGGTAAAAGGATTTCCGAGCTTATTGGCAACAAGAATGCCAAGATCTTAGACATCGGATGCGGTACCGGGCTCTTTGGGATGGAGGTGAGAAACACTTGTCATTTTTGAACAAAATACCGTTAAGATGCATATCCTTGTGTTATAAGAATACCAATATTATGTAACATTATGCTACAGTGCTCGTTACTCGCTAGTTGTCTTGTTACTTCAAACCTGAACGCTGCACTATAAATTTTACCTTACACCAACCCTTAGTACATAAGCTAAAACCCAACTATCTGACTCTATAAATCTTGATAAAACAAATCAAACGTGTATACGCAGGCACCGCAATCCTTTCTGGTTGGGGTCATGGGGCCGGGCGGAGTCCCTAGACGCTCTAGAATTTCAGCAATTCAGAACCTTCAAGATTACAGTCTTGAGCGATATTCTCTCCTATTCTCCCCTAAGCACACTTTTGTAGAACAAAGATTTGTCTTGGGAACAACTTTCTTTGAGGATAATGTCGATCTTAGGGCCCCCATCGGGGGTCTAGGGGTCGGAGCACCTGGACGATCTCGAGTTTTGGGAATTCAGAACCCTTAAAGGGCCCTTTACATGGAAATACAAGTGTATTCCTGTTGGTGTACAGTCCTGCATACATGTCATATTTTGATATGTTAACCTCTGAATTTGTTTCATAGATTTTTTTTTTTATTTTAAATATTTGTTTTTCAAACTTGCTAAGCTCCCCCAAAAAACCTCAAAATTTCATTCCCCTTGTGACATCATCTGTCAGTCATCAATGAGCTAACTTGAGAAAGTGGTATGTATCTTTGCCGAAGTCGACCAAGTTTTGTGCGATAGAAACTCTAATCTATGCCTTGAACTTTGCACTGCTAATAATTGCCCCTTTTCAAATATGAGACTTGCCCCTTTTACTTTGACAAGAGCCTTTAGTGACATTAAGAAATCTAATGACCATTTTTTTTATGTTTACTTTTTATTGTTTCGTGGATCCTAGATCACTCAGTTTGCATGAGCGTTTATAAATTTAAAATGTCTGGTACACTTGAAGTCCTTCTATATAAAGTTTGATTTTGAATATTATATTTTATAAAGTATACATTTACACATAATTTGAAGAAGAAAACAAAATTTAAGATATTGATTTAGAAAGAAAAAAATATAACAGATGGTGTATTGTTAGGATTCTTGAAATTTCTGCCAAGTATTGTAGCGATCGCTCATTATGTAAGCTCATGAAAGCCGGGGCGGCAGGTCTCGATCCCCTCCCCCACTCCCGTCACTTCCCCCCTTCCCATTTTGTATTAAGAGTGGATTATACCCTTTATAGTTAACGGTCTAAGCAAGCAGTAAATAAAGCTTTGTTTAACGATTCGGCATTTTCCGTAATTAATACTCTCTGGTAGAAGGGGGAGGGCTTTTGCCGAGGGTCAAGGGGGCGGAGCCCCGGAAGTTCTTGAATTTTTAAATTTAGAAAATTCAAAATGCTCGTCACGAGCGATAGAAATTGTAATATCATCCTTGAAAGTCACATAGCCCCTATTATTTATTTTTTTAGAAACCATCTCTCTTTCTTTCTTGAAGACAATTTTATAGAACTGTTTGTTTTTTCGTTCTGTTCTTATTTCGTCCGCAATCTTCGTAGGCGCATCGAAAATGTAATCTGCATGTGTACTTTTAAGTTTCATATTCTTTCTTTTCTAACTCTCTCTCTCTCTCTCTCGCTCTTCTTTACCTCTCTCCCTCTTAGCCCGGCAGCCCAGAGCACTTTGATCAAACGAACGAGGTACCAATATCTGAGTATTGGAACATTTGGGGAAAAACCTAGGATATCCAAATGTGGATGTCTGCCGGGGTCCCTCTGCTGCATGTGGCCCCTGGGGCCAGTTGAGAGGGGCCCAAAAATGCTTCTGATCAAACGAACGAGGTACCACTTGAAACCAGTGTTAACTAAATGCATGAATGCCACAGAGCACGGAATGGCCCATGCCAGACAAAATTTCTGCTGCTAAGGGCCCGACAGACGCCCCAAAGGGGCCCCCTAAAAACGCATTTGATCAAACGAACGAGGTACCACTTGAAACCAGTGTTAACTAAATGCATGAGTGCCACAGAGCACTGAATGGCCCATGCCAGACACAATTTCTGCTGCTAAGGGCCCGCCAGACGCCCCCAAAGGGGCCCCTAAAAATGCATTTGATCAAACGAACGAGGTACCACTTGAAACCAGTGTTAACTAAATGCATGAATGCCACAGAGCACTGAATGGCCCATGCCAGACAAAATTTCTGCTGCTAAGGGCCCGCCAGATGCCCCTAAATGTGGCCCAAAGCCCATATAATAGCATTGACCCAGATTAAATATGCAAGGTACCACTCAAAATCAGTTTTGAATGGTCGGGTTTATCTTACAGACTACGGAAATCATCATGTCAGATAAATTTCCTCCTGCAAATGGGCCCACAGACACACTGAAAAAGTGGGCCCCAAATGGGCCATGATCATATGAAGGAGAAACCATTTGAATCTAATTGTAACTTAATAGTTGAATGCCACAATGCACTGAATGGCCCATGCAAGACACATTTTCTGCTTCTTAGGGCCTGCCAGACGCCCCCAAAATGTGGCCAAAGGCCCATTATTGTATCATTGACCAACGTTTAATATAAAGGCCTACTTTAGGTACGACTCAAACTGATTTGGAATGGTCGGTTTCATTCTTACAGACTAAGGAAATTACCATGACATACTTATTTTCTGCTGCAAAAGTGTCGAATGACACCCTAAAAAAGAGGAGCCCCAATGGCCCATGAAAAAACATAAGAGAAACTACACAAAACCAATATGAATTAAAAGAGCATATTCCACAGAATAAATAACTGCCGATACAAGAGAAATTTTAATCTACATAGGGCCCACCAGATAGAAAAATGGGTGGCTCAATGTGGATACTGGGCCTAAGGAATTGAACATTAATGTAGATTAAATTTGCCTTGTAACATGACATTTCAAGCAGATTACATTATTGCAATCCTAAATTTGATTACAGAATTAAAATGTGGTGTATACTACTTAATAAATATTCTACCTAAGACATATGTTACCTGATTTTACTCCAATTAACAGCTAACAGTAACATGTAGCATATGATACCACACGTTACAGAGGATCTATTGCACTCCCTCCTCAGGTCACATTATTATCTCTTTGTATCTCTATATGTCAGTCCTTCCCTTCTTTTTCCTCTTATCTGCACTCAAACAGAACTTGGAATTAACAAGTATACATGTAGTCCTTTGTTATGCGATATGAAATGTGTTTAAACTATGTAGATATTGAATTCTTTTTACATTCATTGTCAACCTCAAATAAGGGCCCTTATGCTCTTTTGGGTGCTGCCTGCTACTGTAGCATACATTTACTTACCTGTTTATAATATTTGACTATTTGATATGATGTATCTTATCTTTTTAAGATTCTCCTGTAATTTCTTATGCTTCCACTGAAATTGGTTAAATGAATGAATATTAATGTCCTACTACACTGGACTAGCTATTGTTTTTGTTTCTTTAACTATATTTCCTGCTCCAAGCAAACTTTCCAGTATGGAAGAAAAAAAATTAAAGCACACTTGGATCACATTAGCCTCTATATCTGGTTTGCCATCTAATGTTGTTGTTGTTTGTTGTATTTTTGGCATTCAGTCAAATTTGAATATTTACGCCTAGTCTAGTTCTTTAGTCGTGTTGAGGTAGTAGAGTCCTATTAATTCCCAGCTTGGAAACTCTGTGCGCCTGTGCTTCGTTGGTCAACTGCTGGGGGATGTATCATCCCGGCCAACCCTGCTACATGTACGTCCAATCCAATGGGCTGACCAACATATTAACAGTATGTCCCATTGATTTTTGTTTCAGCTAGTTCAGTTAGAATGTAGGCCTAGTTGGTTATACTCACACTCTGGAGAAGCGTTGTATAACTCTCATGAAATATGAAGCGATGTAACACATTTCCGATATTTGACTCAAAATGGAGAAATATGACATTCCAACTGAGATTCACAAGTGCACCATCCGGAAGCATTTTATAAGGTAGACATACATGAAAATAATGTTTGCAATGTTTGCTAAATTATGGCACTTACTCACTTTCCTATTCAACGTTCAACATAATTGAATGATTCTTCCAGTCTTGCTATAAACCAAATACTAATCAAGCAGGCTCTTGATAATTGAGGGTTACAGGCTCGATTTGTCGAATTGTGTTTATGTCATTCCACCAAATTATTAGCATCTACAAGAGTCTAAGGGCATATGCCTCAATTACAGAGAAGAAATGCTGTCATTAGTTACAATACTGTTTTATGGTTGAACTTTGAAATTGATTGGAAGAAAGTATTCTTCATTCATTGTAAAATGCAACCTGATATAAATGACAGTGTTTCTTTTTCTTAGGCCTATGGCATGAAATGTTGTTCCATACAAGTAATTTTGCTTAGAGCAGCTAATAGCTAAAGAAACTCGAACAATTGCTTCTCCCGTGTAGGGCATAAACGGTCATTCATTCATTTCATTTCAATGGAAGCATCAAATATTACAGGAATTTTTTTTTAAGGACGAGACACATCACATCAAATAGTTGAATACTATAAACAGCTAAGTACATGTATTATGAAGTATGCAGCAGCCAAAATAGAATAAGGGCCCTTATTTGAGGTTGACAATGAATGTAAAAAGTATTCAATATCTACATATTTAAAACACAATTTATATAACATAACACAAGACTATACTTGATAATTCGAATTTCTATTTGAGTGGAGATAAGAGGGAGAAGAAGGGAAGGAATGATAGAGATACAGAGAGATTATAAGGGATTACAATAGATCCTCTGTAACTTGTGGTGTTGCTGAGAAACATATACAATGTATAGGCATATGCTATGTTACTGTTAGTTGTTAGTTGTAGTAAAATGAGGTCACATGTCTTGAGTAGAATTCTGATAGTCACCATATTTATTTAGTAGAATACACCATGTTATAATTCTGTAATCAAATTTAGGATTGCAATAATGTAATCTGCTTGAAATGTCATGTTACAAGGCAAATTTAATCTACATTAATATTCAATTCCTTAGGCCCAGTATCCATATTGAGCCACCCATTTTTCTATCTGTTGGGCCCTATTCAGAATAACATTTGTCTTGCAGCGGCAGTTATTTACTCTGTGGAATGTGCCTTTTTATTTCATTTTGTTTTTTATGTACAAGTAGTATCACTGATATTTGTCCATGGGCCGTGTGGGGCCCTCCTTTTTTGGTGTGTCTGACGGCCCCTTTGCTGCAGAAAATTTTGTGATGGTAATTTCCTTAGTCTGTGCAATTAACCCGACCATTTCTAATCGATTTTGAGTCGTACCTAAAGTAGGTCTTTATAATAAACTTTGGTCAATGATACAATAATAGGCCTTTGGCCACATTTTGGGGGCGTCTGGCAGGCCCTAAAGAAGCAGAAAATGTGTCTGGTATGGGCCATCCAGTGCATTGTGGCATTCAACTATTAAGTAACAATTAGATTCAAATGGTTTCTCCTTCATTTGGGGCCCACTTTTTCAGTGTGTCTGTGGGCCCATTTGCAGGAGGAAATTTATTGAACATGATGATTTCCGTAGTCTGTAAGATAAACCCGACCATTAAAAACTGATTTTGAGTGGTACCTTGCATATTTAATCTGGATATGGGCTTTGGGCCACATTGAGGGGCGTCTGGCGGGCCCTTAGCAGCAGAAAATTTGCCTGGCATGGGCCATTCAGTGCTCTGTGGCACTCATGCATTTAGTTAACACTGGTTTCAAGTGGTACCTCAATCGTTTGATCAAATGCATTTTTTAGTGGGCCCCCTTTGGGGGCGTCTGGTGGGCACTTGGCAGCAGAAATTTTGTCTGGCATGGGCCATTCAGTGCTCTGTGGCATTCATGCATTTAGTTAACACTGGTTTCAAGTGGTACCTCGTTCGTTTGATCAAATGCATTTTTTAGGGGGCCCCCTTTGGGGGCGTCTGGCGGGCCCTTAGCAGCAGAAATTTTGTCTGGCATGGGCCATTCAGTGCTCTGTGGCATTCATGCATTTAGTTAACACTGGTTTCAAGTGGTACCTCGTTCGTTTGATCAAATGCATTTTTAGGGGCCCCCTTTGGGGGCGTCTGGCGGGCCCTTAGCAGCAGAAATTTTGTCTGGCATGGGCCATTCAGTGCTCTGTGGCATTCATGCATTTGGTTAACACTGGTTTCAAGTGGTACCTCGTTCGTTTGATCAGAAGCATTTTTGGGCCCCTCTCAACTGGCCCCAGTGGGCACATGCAGCAGAGGGACCCCGGCAGACATCCACATTTGGATATCCTAGGTTTTTCCCCAAATGTTCCAATACTCAGATATTGGTACCTTGTTCGTTTGATCAAAGTGCTCTGGGCTGCCGGGCTATCTATATTATTTTCTTTTACATTCTGTTCTCATTTTTCTCCCCTTGGCTCTCGTTTTTCAACCTACATTTGTTAAGGCCCCGAAAAGAAAAGGAGGGGCAGGGCCGATTCACCGCCCCCCCCCCAAAAAAAAAGACCCGCCACCGATATAAATGTTTATGCAGGCATTTAATAAGCATAGCTTGCGGTGGGATTTGGTTTGCCATCCTATCCAATTCGTTGCCGACCCGTTACTCAGGGTATATAGCGAATTTTTTTTCCTTCCCTCTCTCTCTCCGTCATCTCTTCTTCTCCCTTACCTTTTCCCTCTTTTTATTCTCCATTTTCTTCTGTTGATATCTCTTATCCCCTCCCCTCGCTAAAAGGGGGGATGTGGGGGGGGGGGGGGGTTAAAACCTATACCAGCCATCCTAGCACTGCATTTGATTGGCTCAAAAGAAACCTATACGTCATGCGCTAGTCATAAATATTTATAATACGCACGCACACAGAACCTGATGCGATAATTTATCAAATAATGAGATTTCATACAAAAATAACAAGTGCAAAGCTATGTTTACTTAAAACGAATGACATCGCGAGAAAACCGGGAGTCATACCGTAAACGAATGACTACCCAGGTCGAAACTTTTCCATAATCATTGCGACATACTGTTTAGTCCAGAATCTGGCCGATTTAATGTTTGATCTCCACCACACAGTACCATACCAACGCAAATATTCAAATGCAGCGCTATACGATGGCTCTTCTAGGTTTTAAAAAAATCGCGGGGGGGGGGGTGGCGCGGCCGATTCGGCTACCTCGTGGATCCGCCATTTAAATTCCTTATCTCGAATCATCTGCTCTAATATGCAGTCATTCCTCCTAGCGACAATAAGTTCGCACATACTTAAAAGTTATCTGGGATATCGCACGTCCTGTTTAATTCAAATTGGAAAAACAAATGAAAGGACATACTACCTTGATACCAGCATCGGACCGGAAACGTACAACATTTGGAGAAGAACGAGTCCAAACAACGCGCAAGCAAGAGTTTATAGATGGTTTGTTAAAGATATGAATCTACTAAAGGCAAAGTAATAGCAGAATGGCAAAATATCGTATATACTATGAAATTATTAATTTTACTTTTATTCTGTTTTTATTGTATCGTTTCGAATAAGACGATTTCTGGACCTTTGTCCAGGTCTCACTTTTTCGGAACGACTGCAAAACTGATCTGAGATCTTTAAACAATATCCTGAGAGTAAATATTAGGTCTATTTCTCCATCAGTGGTAGCGAAATTTTGAAATATTACTGAAATGAAAATGAAAGATAAAGGCAGTCCGCGAATTAGTCACGAGCTCCTTTACCATCGATGAGATGTAAACAATAAACAAGTAAAAGAAGGAAAACCATTTTGTATGTTAGACATTAAAACAAATTCTTATTTTAATTTTAACTTTTGGCACGATTGTCTCTCATTTTTCTCACTATATCAGCTTCACTCACTTGGATACAACAATATTCACGCTGCAGACGGAAATCCCAATATCTTGGAGAAAAGTCGTGAGAGAGGGGTCTATACAGAACTTAAACAGTTCATGTTGGGCTCTAACCTCATTGCACCTTACGAAGACGGTAAGAATCAAAAGAGCATGACATCTTTATCATGACGTCACTCTCATCGTTGAGTTAATATGATGTAAAAGAAAGTGTCTGGAAGCGATTAGGAAGCACATTATATATAGGTATTATGATTGTAAGGCGAAGGCTGGGATATTACAAATTCCAGGGACATCAGGAAGAACAGGATATATACTGATGCGGCTACCCAGAGTAGATAAAACATGTAGCAGTAGCAGAAGTAGTAGTAGTAGCAGAAGTAGCAGTAGTATCAGTAGTGGTAGTAGAAGTAGTAGTATTGGTAGTAGCAGTAGTACGTTTTATAGCAGTAATAGTGTTAGTAATAGTAGTAGTGGTAGTACTATTAATACTACTAGTAGTAGTAGTAGTAGCAGCAGCAACAACAGTAGTGGCAGTAGTAGTAGAAGTAGTAGTAGAAGTAGTAGTAGCAGTAGTAGTAGCAGTAGTAGTAGTAGTAGTAGTAGTAGTATCAGTAGTGGTAGTGGTAGTAGAAGAAGCGGTAGTAATATCAGTAGCAGTACCAGTAGTGGTAGCAGTAGTAGTAGTATTGGTAGTAGCAGTAGTACGTTTTATAGCAGTAATAGTGTTAGTAATAGTAGTAGTGGTAGTACTATTAATACTACTAGTATAGTAGCAGCAGCAACAACAGTAGTAGCAGTAGTAGTAGAAGTAGTACACTGTTGGTCAGGCGCGTACGCAGGATTTTTTCAAGGGGGGGGGTTTTAACATTTATAAATCGGTCCGAAAATTTCGCAACGACTCAGCCAGCCGCTGAATAAGCGGGGGGGGGGGGGGGGGGGGGGGGGGGGGGGGGGGGGGGGGGGGGGGGGGGGGGGGGGTAAGAGGACACATTTTTTTTTTTTTTTGGTCCCAAAAAAATCGCAACGACTCAGCCGACCGCTGAATAAGCGGGGGGGGGGGGGGTAAGAGGACACATTTTTTTTTTTTTTTTGGTCCCAAAAAAATCGCAACGACTCAGCCGACCGCTGAATAAGCGGGGGGGGGGGGGGGGGGGGGGGGGGGGAAGAGGACACTTTTTTTTTTTTTTTTGGTCTCGAAATTTGGAAATTTGACATTTTGCTCCGTTGGGGGGGGGTAAGGTCACTTTTTTAGGTCGGCCATGGGAATATTTTTTTTTTTTTTTTTTTTTTTAATAATTAAAAAAAAAAAAAAAAAAAAAGGGGGGGGGGGGGGGGGGGGGGTTTTAGGTTTTTTTTAGGGGGGTTTACACAAAAAAATTTCCAAAGGGGGGGGGGGGGGTTTAGGGGGGGTTTTACCCCCCAAACCCCCCCCCCCCTGCGTACGCGCCTGCTGTTGGTCATAATGGTGGAATATTTATTTTTACCCCAGTTTAGGGAGGGATTTTAAAAAATTATTTATTTCTAATAGATCTAGATAATGGCATACATTCCCAGATTTTATTGAATATTAATTTGCGAGTGTTTGTTTTGCGTGACTGCTAAATCATATTTGTGTTACTGTGCTAATCAGCTAGGGAACCTACGTCCTTAAATCATAATTGACAGTAATGAGGATTAATGCCTCACAAAAGGGAATTTATATAGCTGATCGACACGATTTTTATCCTGGGGCCTCACAGTAACGAGGCCATTGCTTAGCCCCTGAATCATGACTGTACGCAGTGTTTGCTAGGGTACGCGGCCCTTCCACAAATCCCCCAAAACGAAGAAAATGCAATAAATTGTCAAAAATTCATTGCATTTTCCCCCGGCCCCCAACAGGAAAAATTCCTCTGTGTGGCCATGCCTCGAACCATAATGCATGGCCCTACAGAGGAATTTTTCCTGTTGGGGGCCGGGGGAAAATGTAATGAATTTTTGACAATTTATTGCATTTTCTTCGTTTTGGGGGATTTGTGGAAGGGCCGCGTACCCTAGCAAACACTGCGCACAGTCATTATTCAGGGGCTAAGCAATGGCCTCGTTACTGTGAGGCCACAGGATAAAAATCGTGTGCGATCAGCTATATATTAGTGCCCTTTTGTGAGGCATTAATCCTCATTACTGTCATTTATGACTTAAGGACGTAGGTCCCTTAGCTGATTAGCATAGTAGCACACATATGATTAAGCAGTCACGCAAAACAAACACTCGCAAATTAATATCCAATAAAATCTGAGAATGTATGCCATTATCTAGATCTATTAGAAATAATTTATTTTTTAAAATCCTTCCCTAAACTGGGGTAAAAAAAAATATTCCACCATTATGACCAACAGTGTAGTAGCAGTAGCAGTAGTAGTAGTAGTAGTAGTATTAGTAGTAGTAGTAGTAGTAGTACTAGCAGCAGAAGTGTTAGTAGTAGTACTTAGCAGCAGTAGTAGTAGTATAAGTAGTAGTAGTACTAGCAGCAGAAGTGTCAGTAGTAGTACTTAACAGCAGTAGTAGTAGTATAAGTAGTAGTAGTACTAGCAGCAGAAGTGTTAGTAGTAGTACTTAGCAGCAGTAGTAGTAGTATAAGTAGTAGTAGTACTAGCAGCAGAAGTGTCAGTAGTAGTACTAACAGCAGTAGTAGTAGTTATAAGTAGTAGTAGTACTAGCAGCAGAAGTGTCAGTAGTAGTACTTAACAGCAGTAGTAGTAGTATAAGTAGTAGTAGTACTAGCAGCAGAAGTGTTAGTAGTAGTACTTAACAGCAGTAGTAGTAGCGTAAGTAGCAGCAGAAGTAGTGGTAGTATAGTAGTCAGGGGCGGTGATCCCGGGAGGACGGGGGACACGTCCCCTCCACCTCAACTTTTTTTGGGGGGACCGTCCCCCTGGAAAATTTGAATAAGTGCAAAAAATGTATAGCAAATACTGAATAAAGACTGCATCACAGTTTTAGGCTCTGGAGGCCCCAAGAGTGCAGCGTTTAGACTAATAAAAATGCAAAAATCTTCTCGCTCGGTCGCTACGCGCCCCCGCATATTATCCTTCAAAATGTAAAAGTAAATATTGTATAAAATCTGTATTCCGTTAGTATCACCGTGATCATTGGCGTACTGATGGGGGGGGGGCAAACTTGGTTTATTTCTAATTCGTTCCCAGTGATTTACAAATTTTGCTGAAATGACATGATTTTCCGGGATTTGTTCTCACTTTTTTGTAAATTATACTTCTGTATGCTTTTGTAGGAAAATTCCCAAATTTACAGTTAAGCAAAAATATGCTTATTTGAAAGCCTACATGTCAGGGCCCGTGGAAAAAGTATGTTAAAGAGAAATAGAAAGAAAAAAGGAAAGAAGAAAAAGAAAGAAAGAAGAAAGAATAGTGACCTGCCAAGTGTCACAAATAATGAGGTATTAGAATATGCCCATCTGACCGTAATTAAATGCCTAAATCCCCTGAGCTTCCGGGGACTCTGCCCCTAGACCCCACCAGGGGCACTAAGGTGACCCATGAATGATCATCTCACCGTAATTAAATGCCTAAAACCCCTGAACTTGAGAGGGCTCTGGACCCCACCAGGAGCTATTAGGTAGGCCCCTGGATGCTCATCTGACCGTTAGTAAATGCGTTAAACCCCTGAGCTTCCGGAGGCTCTGCCCCCTGGACCCAACCAAGGGCGGCCCCTGGCGGCTCATCTGATCGTAATTTAATGCCTAAAACACCTGAGCTTCTGGGGGCTCCGCCCCTCGACCGCCGGGCTTTTCCATTGGACCCCACGCCAATGTATGCTATACTCGCTTCGCTCGTTACGCTCTACCTGATCGTAATTCGTAAATACTTTAGCCCCCCCCCCCCCCCCCCCACTTTGAAAAATGTTCCGCGGGGCCCGCATGTAAGATGTAAGAGTGGTGATGATGTGGATTTTTCTTCTGCCCCCCTCCCCCTCCCCAAACGCTTTTGCTCATTACATCACTAACCGTGATTCTAACGGAATACACATTCCCTCGCATTTCGCCCCCCCCCCCCCCCGGTCATGAAAAGAAATCACCGCCTCTGATTGTAGAAGTAGTAGCAGTAGCAGTAGTAGTGGTAGTAGTGAAAAGATATCAAATGGGCTTAATTGTAATGAAATTATGTGAACTGCATGCATACTTAGAAGTGTATATACACACACAAGTTTGGTCCAACCATTCAAACTGTTTCTCGTCGGGTAGGGCAGGAGTCTTTTAGACCAATCAGATAAAATTGATAGCTGTTATCGGTTTGGTGCCGGTCTTAATTGTTCCACCTCCGTTTTTAGGCCTATTTACTCATGCCAAACACCATTTTGAAAAATCATCGATTTTTTTTGGGACTTCCATTTACTTTTCGTCATTTAAAATGTCACAAACTAACTTATTCGACACCTACATGATTGTATGTGCAGGTGCATTTGATGCAGTGGTAGCTATCGCCGTTTTGGGACCAGGGGCAGTGGATCACACTGCAATGCCGGAGATAAGCCGACTGGTTGCGACAGGTAAGATTATGTGCCAACGAGGCATCACTCCTCTGCGCCAGTTGAGTCGTTCTGATCTCAAAACGAAATCTTGTTATTACAAGGCCCACTGCACACGAGACGTTCTTTACAATAACGGCATTCACGGAAATTCAGGCATAATAATGCAGAGAATGGGTCCTGTTTCATAAAATGTTATGAGCTAGTTTTCTAGCCTCCTTACATTTGATTGGCTATGAGCAGATTTGGCATGATAGATCCTTGGCAGTTGTTATTGACAATAAGTTTTTATGAAACGGGGCCAAGGTTCAATATCCTTCTAGCATCACTTAGAATTTAGAATCGTAGTGACGTCAGAATTATAGTGCGATTGTATCGATTTGAAGCTGATTCGGCTTTTATTCTGACTAGAAGAGTTAATTGCACAGAAATTCAGGTTGTTAGCATTCTTGTGATAATTAAGATCCTAAATCAGGAAGATGATGTCTGTTTAGATTTCCATATATCATATATTTATGATTGACATTTCTTCGAAAACCGGATCCCAGGAGGATTATTAAATGATCACTATTTTCTCGGGATAATTGTCTGAGGTGCTGCAGTACCTTGTCCTGAAATCATTTGGTGCAAGATAATCTATTCATTAATTATCTGTTGACTATAATACAGGTGGATATTTGATCCTGTTTATACGGAAGTCAAGGCTAGAGATGGAGACAGAACGCTTCAACGTCAAAGCAGTGTTCGAAGAGTGGGTCGCGAGTGGAAAATGGGAGAGACTTAGTGATATCAGCTCGGTTTACTACGCAGGTACTGACGGGGTGGACAATGATGACCGTGTGGTGGAGCGTGATGGCTTCATCGTTACCCTGCGAAAGTTAATCAATTGAAAATCGTACCAGTGGCGTTTATCCAGCGTAGAATTGGGGGGGGGGGGGGGGGGGGGGGCTGTGATCCCACATTTGGCCTGGATGTTTTTTACTGGGGAAGGGGTAAAAAATTAAGTGTATATGGAAAATTAGGGTTGCTATTGGAGTTTAGGTCAGATTTAAGGTGAGCAGGCTAATAGGTTGGGTTATTAATTTAGTGTTGGTCCTGGGTTGTAGGTAGGAATTCGGTTAGTGTAGGAAATTGAAGGCAGAGCAGTTATTGTTGCAGGAGCATATAGCGTCAAGTGTAGGGTTATGGTTTGAGTTGCAATTGGAGTTTAGTTTAAACTTCGGCTTGGTAGGTAAGGGACACGATTAAGTAGTGTTTGGTTTGGTCCGTGAGGTTAGGAATTGGGTTACTTTAGCGTTTAGAACAATTTCAGCACAATTTAGAAAAAAAGTCCTGTCAGCATTCATCGTTTGGGATTTCATATACGGATCAAGGTTTGCAATTGGAGTTTAGTTTGACAGTTGACAATTTGATAATACTCATTAATAATTTTCACCAATATGTATAGGTCATTCACCAATGTTAAACAGTATAATAACAACTCCATAATGGCATTCGTATTAATGTATCATTTGACATTTCCGTATTATGTGCATTTTAACTTTTACAATGCTTCATTAAGCTGAATCAACTCAATTCTCGTTAATTTGCGTACATTATTATGTCATTATTGAACTCTCTTTCTTTTCCCCTTCTCTCATCCCTCATCTTTCTCTTTCCTTTTTTCTTCTCTCTTTATCTTTCCCTCTCCCCTCTTCCACTTTTCACTCTATCTTTTCTTTCTTTCTCAATTCACTGACAAAGTGATTATCACCATGATTTTCTTTAAATATATAGTAAACTTATCCTATTGATATTAATATACCATGTTATAATTTACAATCCTTTCTGTTCGTGATATTTTTTCGTACTAAAACTTACTACTGAATGTTTAAATGTACTGTTTTTAATGCATTTTTATATGACGATATTCGTTCTTTAGCTTGTTAAAAGATTCGTAGACATGAAATGTCGAAAATTAAGTCATTGTGAAAGTTTTTCTAAATCTCATTTCATGACACCTCTTTGAGCCCTTTGTAGCCCCCTTACAATTATGACCTTTAAAATAAAATATTATAATTAAAGTGAAGATCGAGGGATCTTTTGTTTTGTTGTCTAGTGTTACTGGCGGTTTTTTATATTATCTTTTGTATGTTTTCATTTAGTTCACAGACTGGCTGAAAAAACAGTCGTTTAGGTACAGTGAGTTACCATGTTTGAGTAAATAAATATTTAGACAGGACGTCTAAATTCCCTGGCGAAATTGTGCCCGTGTGCGCCTATGATCTTATGCATGATGTAAAGGCTGTTTTTTTTAGAAAAAGGTGCATTTTATTCAGACTCGAGATTAAAGACGTGTTATATAAAAGGAGAATGAGAGAGACAGAGAAGGCGAGACAATTGGCATATTCAAAAAAGGCAAATGGGTAATATTCCTCATGACGACCTACCATGAACAAAATACTTAACCGATCCCAACTTTTTGTTATTTACTTTGTCAAATTATGTGGAAGTCAAAGATGATTACATTTCTCTTAAAATCCTGAATCGGACTAATGTTCTACAAAAAATTGAGCGTTGTTATTTGGAAAGTAGAGGCACGAGGTGAGAGAAAGAGAAAGAAGGAGAGGGTGAGAAAGAAAATGAGAGAGAGAGAGAGAGGACAGAGAGAGAGAGAGAGACAGAGAGAGAGACAGAGAGAGAGGAAAAAAAAGATAGCAAGAGAAAGAAAGAGAAGGAAAAAAAATAGCAGAAAGATAGCAAGAGAAAGAGAGACAAAGAGAGAGATAGAGAGAGAGAGAGAGAGAGAGAGAGAGATGCAGACTGAGGGTCCAGGGGTATAGCGTACTGCTATATGAGAGAGAGAACAAATGTCAGAAGAAACATGTTAGAAGAATAAAGAAGTGGGTGGGGGGGGGGGGGGGGGTAGAGTGTTCAGGAACAAGAGCGTCACTTGACTAGTCTAAAAGTTAGAGGGCGCCACCATCAACCGTCAATATACCCACCCTCCCTACCTGGAGAAACGGAGTTTTATTTCCCTCGGCGACATCAAATCTCTTTGTTTAATTGAAAGAAGAAGAAAAAGTGATTGATTTTTATGGCAAATTTATAGAGATTAAACCATTCATTTGGCAGCACTCGTTCTAACAGAGATCTAACAATATGACAACCTCCCTCTCTACTTTCTTTCGCCCCCCTCGCACCTTCACCTCTCTCTCTCTCTCTTTGCCGGTTTTTAAATTCTTTTTAACTGTCTATAATTATTTCACTCTCTCTCTCTCTCTCTCTCTCTCTCTTTGCCGGTTCTTTATTCTCTTTAACTGTCGACATTTCACTCTCCCTCTCTCTCTCTCTCTCTCTCTCTCTCCCTCTTTCTCTCTCACCCTCTCCTTCTTTCCCTTTCTCTCACCTCCTGCCTCTACTTTCAAAATAACAACGCTCAATTTATTTGTAGAACATTAGTTCGATTCAGGATTTCAAGAGGAATGTAATTATCTTTGACTTCCAAATAATTTGACAAAGTAAATAACAAAAAGTTGGGATCGGTTAAGTATATTTTTCATTGTAGGTCGTCATGGGGAATATTACCCATTTGCCTTTTTTGAATATGCCAATTGTCTCGCCTTCTCTGTCTCTCTCATTCTCCTTTTATATAACACGTCTTTAATCTCGAGCCTGAAATAAATGCACCTTTATTTCTAAAAAAAAAACAGCCTTTACATCATGCATAAGATCATAGGCGCACACGGGCACAATTTCGCCAGGGAATTCAGACGTCCTGTCTAAATATTTTCCTGTCTAAATATTTATTTACTCAAACATGGTAACTCACTGTACCCAAACGACTGTTTTTTCAGCCAGTCTGTGAACTAAATGAAAACATACAAAAGATAATATAAAAAACCGCAAGTAACACTAGACAACAAAACAAAAGATCCCTCGATCTTCACTTTCACAATGACTTAATTTTCGACATTTTCATGTCTACGAATCTTTTAACAAGCTAAAGGAACGAATATCGTCATTTCCACCAAACAATGATTTCCTTGATAAATATACGTCCTCTCATTGTCTGAATGAAAACAAATGTTCTGACACTTTTATTATTTTGAACTTCAAGTTGGATTATGATAATTAATTTTCATACAGAGGCATCTCTCCGGAATCAAGCCCCAGGGTGGATTTCCTCGATAGCCCCGTTTGGCGTAGATATGTTGTAAATAATGTGTTTTCTGCCATTGGCCTTTGTAATGAAAAAAAAAACAGTTGACTCGAAGAAGAATAACTCTTTAACAACTTCAATGTATCGTTTATAATGAAACACAACTTGTTTTATTATGTTCTGCTAATCAGGATGAAAACACGCGTAAGAGAGCGAAACAACACTCAATGAGTTAGAATGTATTGTAGCTGTAGCTAACTGACAACTTTTCTTTTCTGTACTCAAATTTTATTTATACTAAAGTTTCCCAGCACCGCTTATTCCGATGATCCTTTGCCACTCTTGGCAACAATACAAATATATAACATAAATTAACAGATTAATGTCCCTCTCCTCGGAGACCTCGCTACCCAATGAAACATTGCCAATTCATGAAAAACATTATTTCATGAACCAAAAGTGCTGACATCAATCAATTTCAATAAATCAATTTCGGTTTTATTAAAAATATACAAAATAAAAAGTCCAAAGACTAACAATAATTGGTTTACATTGTATCATATAAAATGCATTAAAAACAGTCAATTTTACAATTCATTAGTAAGTTAAAGTACAAAAACATATCGGGAAAAGGATTGTAAATTATGAAATGGTATATTATTATCAATAGGATAAGTTTATTATATATTTAAAGAAAATCATGTTGATAATCACTTTGTCAGTGAATTGAGAAAGAAAGAAGACAGATAGAGTGAAAAGTGGAAGCGGGGAGAGGGAAAGGATAAAGAGAGTTCAATTTATGAAAAAACAATGTAAGCAAATTAACGAGAATTGAATTGATTCAGCTTAATGAAGCATTGTAAAAGTTATAAATGCACATAATACGGAAATGTCAAATGATACCAGGGACGGATCCAGGGGGGACAAAGGGGGCACGTGCCCCCCCCCCGCCCCCAATATATCCTCTTACCACCCCCCCCCCGCTTATTCAGCGGCTGAATAATTGAAATGTATTTTTACACAATGTATATATATATATTAACAATATTTGATAAATATGTTTATTATCTAATGTTTTAATACATACCCAACTATGATTTAGTTTTAACGTAGGAAACCATGTTTTACAACCCACTCTGGAATACATTTATCTTTTTACAGAGACATCAATTTATAATTATGTACTTACCGTTGATGAACAGGCAACTTAGAGCAACATTTTGCTGACTTTTAATGTTAAAGACACAGGTGCAATAATTTCAGTATTAGCTTTTTACTTATTTGTATGTTATGTATTGTATTGCTTTTGATTAATTGTTGTTATTACTATTGTGAAGTTTAATAGATTTTAAAAATGTAAATAATATATAGTGATTGGTTTTAAATGCTACACATGAATACTGATAAATGTTACCAATACTGTTTGAATGAATGATTGTAACAAATGAAATATAATGTTATGTAATGAAGCTCATGTATACATGTAAACATGCACAATTCAGCATTTTGGCTGCGAGGCATTGTTTTTTTAATAAAACCATTATTGAATTGAATGAATTGAATGAATTGAATTGGCTAAGTCGTTGCGATTTTTGTTGGCATATATATATATATATATATATATATATATATATGTCCTCTTACCCCCGTGTGCCCCCGGGAAGAAATTCCTGGATTCGCCCCTGAATACATTAATACGAATGCCATTATGGAGTTGTTATTATACTGTTTAACATTGGTGAATGACCTATACATATTGGTGACAATTATAAATGAGTAATTATCACATTGTCAACTGTCAAACTAAACTCCAATTGCAACCCTTGATCCGTTTATGGAATCCCAAACCATGAATGCTGACAGGACTTTCTTTCTAAATTGTGCTGAAATTGTTTTAAACGCTAAAGTAACCCAATTCCTAACCTCACGGACCAAACACCAAACACTAAACACTACTTAACCCTGTCCCTTACCTACCAAGCCGAAGTTTAAATTAAACTCCAATTGCAACCCTAACCATAACCCTACACTTGACGCTATATGCTCCTGCAATAATAACTGCTCTGCCTTCAATTTCCTACACTAACCGAATCCTACCTTCAACCCAGGACCAACACTAAATTAATAACCCCACCCTATTAACCTGCTAACCCTAAATCTGACCTAACCTCCAATAGCAACCCTAATTTTCCATATACAATTATTTTTTTTTACCCCTCCCCCAGTAAAAAACATCCAGAGCAAATGTGGGATCACAGCCGCCGCCCCACCCCCCACCCCCCCCCCCCCCCCCTACGCTGGATATCGCCACTGGTACGATTTTCAATTGATTAACTTTCGCAGGGTAACGATGAAGCCATCACGCTCCACCACACGGTCATCATTGTCCACCCCGTCAGTACCGGCGTAGTAAACCGAGCTGATGTCACTAAGTCTCTCCCATTTTCCACTCGCGACCCACTCTTCGAACACTGCTTTGACGTTGAAGCGTTCTGTCTCCATCTCTAGCCTTGACTTCCGTATAAACAGGATCAAATATCCACCTGTATTAGAGTCAAACAGATAGTTAATGAATAAGATTATCTTGCACCAAATGATTTCAGGACAAGGCACCTCAGACAATCATCCCGAGAAAAAAAATGATCATTTAATAATCCTCCTGGGATCCGGATTTCGAAGAAATGTCAATCATAAATATATGATATATGGAAATCTAAACAGACATCATCTTCCTGATTTAGGATCTTAATTATCACAAGAATCATAACAACCCGAATTTCTGTGCAATTGACCCTTCTAGTCAGAGTAAAAGCCGAATCAGCTTCAAATCGTATACAATCGCACTATAATTATGACGTCACTACGATTCTAAATTCTAAGCGATGCTAGAGGGATATTGAACCTTGGGCCCCGTTTCATAAAAACTTATTGTCAATAACAACTGCCAAGGATCTATCATGCCAAATCTGCTCATAGCCAATCAAATGTAAGGAGGCTAGAAAACTAGCTCATAACATTTGATGAAACAGGACCCATTCTCTGCATTATTATGCCTGAATTTCCGTGAATGCCGTTATTGTAAAGAACGCCTCGTGTGCAGTGGGCCTTGTAGAAACATGATTTCGTTTTGAGATCAGAACAAGTCAACTGGCGCAGCCAGAGGAGTGATGCCTCGTTGGCACATAATCTTACCTGTCGCAACCAGTCGGCTTATCTCCGGCATTGCAGTGTGATCCACTGCCCTGGTCCCAAAACGGCGATAGCTACCACTGCATCAAAAGCACCTGCATATACAATCATGTAGGTGTCGAATAAGTTAGTTTGTGACATTTTAAATGAAGAAAAGTAAATGGGAAGTCCAAAAAAATCGAAGATTTTTCAAAATGGTGTTTGGCATGAGTAAATAGGCCTATATAAACGGAGGTGGAACCATTAAGACCGGCACCAAACCGATAACAGCTATCAATTTTATCTGATTGGTCTAAAAAGATTCCTGCTCTACCCGACGAGAAACAGTTTGAATGTTTGGACCAAACTTGTGTGTGTATATACACTTCTAAGTATGCATGCAGCTCACATGATTTTCATTACAATTGAGCCCATTTGATATCTGTTCACTACTACCACTACTACTGATACTGCTACTACTACTCAGGGGCGGTGATTTCTTTTCATGACCGGGGGGGGGGGGGAAAGAAAATGCGAGGGAAATGTGTATTCCGTTATAATCACGGTCAGTGACGTAATGAGCAAAAGCGTTGGGGAGGGGGAGGGGGGCACACAAAAAATCCACATCATCACCACTCTTACATGTTACATGCAGGCCCCGCGGAACATTTTTCAAAGTGGGGGGGGGGGGCTAAAGTATTTACGAATTACGATCAGGAAGAGCGTAACGAGCGAAGCGAGTAGAGCATACATTGGCGTGGGGTCCAATGGAAAGCCCCGGCGGTCGAGGGGCGGAGCTCCCAGACGCTCAGGGGTTTTAGGCATTAAATTACGGTCAGATGAGCCGCCAGGGGCCGCCCTTGTTGGGTCCAGGGGGCAGAGCCCCCGGAAGCTCAGGGGTTTAACGCATTTACTAACGGTCAGATGAGCATCCAGGGGCCTACCTAATGGCTCCTGGTGGGGTCCAGAGCCCTCTCAAGTTCAGGGGTTTTAGGCATTTAATTACGGTCAGATGAGCATATTTTGATACCTTATTTGTAACACTGGCAGGTCACTAATTGGCGTGGGGTCCTGAGAGCTGAGCTCAATGAAGCTCAGGGTTTCGGGCATTTAATTACGGTGAGATGATCATTCATGGGTCTACCTTAGTGCCCCTGCTGGGGTCCAGGGGCAGAGTCCCCGGAAGCTCAGGGGATTTAGGCATTTAATTACGGTCAGATGGGCATATTCTAATACCTCATTATTTGTGACACTTGGCAGGTCACTATTCTTTCTTCCTTCTTTCCTTTTTTCTTCCTTTCTTTTTTTTCTTTCTATTTCTCTTTAACATACTTTTCCACGGGCCCTGACATGTAGGCTTCCAAATAAGCATATTTTTTGCTTAACTGTAAATTTGGGAATTTTCCTACAAACGCATCCAAAAGTATAATTTACAAAAAAAGTGAGAACAAATCCCGGAAAATCATGTCATTTCAGCAAAATGTGTAAATCACTGGGAACGAATTAGAAATAAACCAAGTTTGCCCCCCCCCCCCCCATCAGTACGCCAATGATCACGGTGATACTAACGAAATACAGATTTCATACAATATTTACTTTACATTTTGAAGGATAATATGCGGGGGCGCGTAGCGACCGAACGAGAAGATTTTTGCATTTTTATTAGTCTAAACCAAAGACGTTTAAATATAATTACTAGACGGAAAGCAGCACGCGCGGAAACCATGCAGACGAATGGGATTAGGCTCCGCCTCTTTTGGATCATTTGAAGACAAAATAAGCACCCGAGGCGGCTTTTTGATTGGATATGAGCCTCATGAATATGTATTTTATCGATAGTATCGTTTAAGAAACCGGATAATATATTTGACCTCATTGCGTCACTTTAATTATGCAGATTTATGCACGACGCAGGCTACTCGCACAAACTGAGAAGATTTAGTTCATTGAGAATGGGTGAGTAATTGATTGAAATATGAGTAGATTAAGTGAATTAAGTCATCAATTTTGAAAAAGCTGCAATAGTCTTTGTGATCTACGGTAATTTCGTTACATTGTGAGACCGTTCTCAACAGATTTTTGGGGAAAAGACTAGGAAATATTGCTCTTGAAATTGAACTTTGATTTTCATCGTCATGAAATAGTTTGACTGCGGTTTGCCGTCATTTCACCCTAGTACTCCAGTTAGGGGCCCGGCCGTTCCGGCAGACCCACCCCGGGGCATTTCGGTGCTCATCTGCATCAAGATCAAACTTTCTAATCAAGTTTTATTTGAGATTTGATCGTCATCATGAATCTAATTCACCAATCATCGATTTAATTTAAATATAGATTTAACGTTACACCTTACAATAATCTCTGAAGCATGATTTTTTTGATAATCCAAGTGGATTAATTCTTGTTAAAATCTTTAGTAGATGTGACTCTGATGGCTTTACTTAATATCATTATCAGTGCCATCCGTTCGCTCAGTTGCATCCGTGTCAAATTTATTTAGACCAAAATTATCTGTGACCATTGATAATCAAACCACTCCAAATCCTATTTCATTTAGATGTAAACCTGGAACTTATTAATAAAAAGTATTCAAAAAACATCAACACTAGGATTTGTTTATTTAATAATCAGATTTGTGTGGGTCCAGCATGCTTGTCAAGTTATCATTTAGAGTCTAGACCTTGACCTTACTACTAGATCTAGATCTAGACCCCTATCAGTGGCGTACGCAGGATTTTTCAAGGGGGAGGGGGGGGGGGGGGGGGGGGTGGGGGGTGGGTTTACATTTGAAATCGGACCAAAAATTTCGCAACGACTCAGCCAGCCACTGAATATAAACATTGGGGGGGGGGGGGGGGTTAGGTCATCCATTTGGATTTTTTTGTATTAAAAAAAACAACAACACTAAAAAAAAGGGGAGGGGGGGAGGGTTTCCAGAAAAACATACACATAAAAAAAACTGAAGGTAGGGGGGGTTTACCCCAACCCCACCCCCCCCTCCCCCCCCCCCCTGCGTACGCTTCTGACTCCTGTTATTACTTTTAATATAATTATTAGAGATTTTTTTCTTCTCTGAATTGTGCAGTTCATGTTGATAAATTTATTTGTTTGTGTAAGAGAAGACCCCTTGTCCACAATTATGTTTACTTATGAAGTCCACTTCTTCTTGTCTTAATAAACCAATTCTACTTAAGACTACTTTATATCTAGGCCATATAAAGAATTTTTTAGGCACAAGTTAAATCTTCCATTTGATTTTACTTTGTACTGTGGTCCATTAAATTGGAATGTTGATTTCCACACTATATTAAAATTAAGGCCAACCATGACATGAAAAAAAGCTTTTATGCTAGATCTATTTTTATTTTGTTAAGGAGAAAGGGACGCCTTGATTGTCGTATTGATTTTGTTTTCTTTTTGTTCCAACAGATGGAAACTGATGAAGAGCTGGAAGGAGTTAACTGATGAGTAGACATTACAACATTCTTATATTTTCAAGATGAAGCTGAAAGTCCCATGCAGGTAAAATTTTCAGGATATTTAGCACACAAATATTAAACGACCACCTATTAATTCACTAAAAAGGAAATGGAACTAAGTGTATGTTTCAAGTGTGTATAGTGGAGGGAATATTTTATTCTAGTTCTTCCCTTTCTTTGTTTACAAAGGGATTTGTCCTTATTTACAGGAGGTCCTGTGTGTAGAAGAACGATGTCTAATGCACATTCAAAGCACTACATAATAATGATAATGATCATACATGTAGGGTATACACAGGACCCCTCATTACTTTTTTTTTGTAAGTGGTCCTTTCACTTCTTGAGCAATGAAGATGAAGAAGAACACAACATAAGATTAACGAAAGTCTGTTTATACGATGAATTATGGTTGATATGTATCTATTATTATCACTTTTTAATTGAAGTACCTACATTGCTTTCTCTTATGTAGGATGATGCTTCTCTACAGTGGATGATGAAAGCATGCTGATTACAAACCCAGGAGAGGAATAAAGAACAGATATTGACAGAATCATATCTAGAGATGTGGGCCTACTGCACTTCATACAAGCAAGTGTGCTAATATACCATGTAGGTACCCCCAATAAACTATTGTAGAACACATTTATCATGCAGAAAGTTATAGATCTGACAATTATATTTTTCATTGTCCATTGACTTGTAAAAGAATACTTGACTGAATATCACAATTGTGATTTAGATTAAAACTAAAATGTCAAGATACATGAAATATAAGTCTACATAACATATGTTTCAATAGCATTATTTCCTGTACATTCTCTGTTCCAAGTTGTTTGGTCATTTTATGTAAACTGAGTACTATTCATTTATGACCACGAGTTTACAACATGTACCAGTATTACTATTTCATACTTGTCTGATCCAAGCTCCATCAGGCCTATTGTCTTAATGGGATCATCAGAAATAATCTAACATGTGGTCAGTAACTAGTCTTGTAGGAAAAATAGTTTAGGTTTGCCCACTAGAATCCCAAGTGAATATTAGTCCTTCCTCTTTTTGTCAGAGCAGGTATCAGGGTGTATGTTATTAGTTGTTCTTTATTTTCTTACACACTGTATCTTATTTCATTTTCCATTCAACAGACTTGGGTTATCATCACAGCCCTTTCTTCTGAAAACTAGCCTACAACTTCATTGATGAATGCAGAAGACATCTACATGGGACTACGTCTTAAAGATGCCACCCTCATATAATGAAAGAGGACAGTAGAGATGGGTTTAAACTTGAATATTTACATACTATTTATTTATTATTTGTATTATATGTTTGTAGAATACCACATAAAAAAAGCTAATGAATTATCATCTTGTCAACTTTCAAATAATTAAAGATAACTAATCATCAATGAATAAACACTAACATTTTAACAATGTCAACTACCATCTTATAGGATGAAACTGAGGGCTGGGCAGAAAGAAATTTCCTTGAAATTTGAGTGATAAAGATCTATCAGTCTATATCAAAGATTGAATTAATCAATGATATTTTAATTATAATTATACATGTTGAAATTCATTTACCTCAGTCTATGGACTTCTGTATTTGAAGTTTGTAGATTATTACATCATTGCTGCTTCAAGTATTGTATGTAAGAAGGTTTGAAAGACAACCCTCTAAATGCACTAATATGGAAACTGCTAATCATCATTGCCTTTTGTATCCAAACTGCTAATTTTAATAGAATCATGTTTTGATACTTCCTAGCTTAAGAAAACGGGGGGGGGGGGGGGGGGCTTGTTATCCTCTTCCTGGTGCTGTTTCTACATGGACCATGTAACAGGTTGCAAAAGTGTAAACAATATTATATTTGTATATGTTTATATTAGAAGGATTAGAAAATGAAAACGTTTTGAATTATAGAATTACTGTTGCTAGAAGTAACGGCAGTATTGATGTGTAAGGGAATGGGGTGGTTTTCCCAGTGAAATTAATGGTATACCAATGTAAAATTAATAAAAAAAGAGAAAACTATTCTTAAAAATAAAATTATAAAGGACATGGCCTCCTAACTAACAAACCACTTCTGGGTTGTTGTTGTTGCTGTTGTTGTTGTGTTTTTTTTTTGGGGGGGGGGGGGGAGGGGGGCAACCCAATTCAAAATTCCAGCGTTAAATTCCATTGTCTTTAAACAAAAATTATGTCAAGATGTTGAAAAACAATGTTCACTTTCCGTTTTCAAGTTAGAAAATTTGAATAAAATGATTAACATATTTTCCGATCTCTCTGGTCTCTACATTAAACATGTTCAAAGCTCCTGCAAAGGCTGCAAAAAGGAAAAGTGAAGTTAATCCAAGTGAAATGTGGACAGTAATGGAGTGAATATGGAATGGTTGATCGTAGTTGATAACGAGTAAACGTAAATGAGTGGTAATAACAACTACGACTGAAAGTGAGACAGAATGGAACTGCAACAGGTTGTTCAGTCAAGCAGGCACGTAGCCACGGGGGGGGGGGGGCCCCCAAAAAAAGAAGAAAATTCCACGATCGGTTGAACTTTTTAGACCCCTTTTTTTACCTCGATCGATTACATGTATGTGCCCCCCCCCCCCAAACATCAAAGTCTGGCTACGTGCCTGCAGTCAAGACAACAAACCGTTAGTTGCAGAAGATAATTTACGAAAGCCAGAGAAAGAGAGAGAAAGGGAATCATTAAGGTACGATGAGAGTGGGTGGAGAAAAACCATCCACTGTGCCACATAATTTGTTTGTCTAAAATAAGGAAAAACTTATACATTAGTATATTTAAAATGTATAATCATAGCCAGAGAATGTGTTGTTATATGGCTTATAGCATGTTTTATTTAATAAAACAAAAACAGACCCAGTTATTGATAGACTAAAAAGGGAATAAGATCGAGACATTAAGAATATCAGTATTTCTTATTCAATGAAGTTAAGGCCACTCCCCCATATTGCGATGCATTCTGGGTATGAGGGGTGGAGCTAGCAAGCTTGAGATCTGTGAAAAATGGATGGTTATTATCATTTTTTGGTCAACAAAGAGATTTTCAGAAAAATTTTATGCTGGAATATTAATAAGTAGAGGTGTAATTATGTTTTCAAAGGCTCAGTTAGTCGGCGTAGATATTCATAAATGAATGATACACGCCATTAAAACTTTAAAAACAACAACAACACAACGAGTGGAATTTTTAAGGTCCACTTCCCGATGCATCCTGGGTACACCAGCTGTTATACTGGTGATCGATAATACAAGTTCGAGCGCGTATTTCACCTAACGGTGATCGCATCAGAATAATCCACGCTGATTCGCTGAATCACTTGCGTTGCTAGCGCGCAGCGTGATGAATAAATTACCCATAATTCCGTACAGTAGATTATTTGACCCTCTCTGATTATGCTGATACGCGTATTGTCTTTTACCATGTAGTAAACATCATTACAGTACACTTTTCGCGGGGAGCATCCTACAGAATGCATAATTCATAAGGCTCATGAATATGCAAGGGGGCTTATTTTGGCTTCTAATGGATCCGGACAAAATGGCGGAGCTTGGGGGGCCTGGTCTAAACGCTGCACTCTTGGGCCCTCCAGAGCCTAAAACTGTGTTGCAGTCTTCATTCAGTATTTGCTATACATTTTTTTGCGCTTATTCAAATTTTCCAGGGGGACGGTCCCCCTAAAAAAGTTGAGGTGGAGGGGACGTGTTCCCCGTCCTCCCACGATCGCCGCCCCTGACTACTATACTACCACTACTTCTGCTGCTACTTATACTACTACTACTGCTGCTAAGTACTACTACTGACACTTCTGCTGCTAGTACTACTACTACTTATACTACTACTACTACTACTACTATTACTACTACTACTACTACTTATACTACTACTACTACTACTACTACTACTACTACTACTACTTCTTCTACTACTACTACTACTACTACTACTACTACTACTTCTACTACTACTACTACTACTACTACTACTACTACTTCTACCACTACTACTACTACTACTACTACTACTACTACTACTACTACTACTACTACTACTTCTACTACTAATACTACTACTACTATACTACTGCTACTACTACTTCTACTGCCACTACTGTTGTTGCTGCTGCTACTACTACTACTACTAGTAGTATTAATAGTACTACCACTACTACTATTACTAACACTATTACTGCTATAAAACGTACTACTGCTACTACCAATACTACTACTACTGCTACCACTACTGGTACTGCTACTGATATTACTACCGCTTCTTCTACTACCACTACACTACTGCTACTCTACTACTTACTACTTCTGCTACTGCTACATGTTTTATTTACTCTGGGTAGCCTCATCAGTATTTATCCTGCTCTTCATGATGTCCCTGGAATCATTATAATATCCCAGCCTTCGCCTTACAATCATAATACCTATATATAATGTGCTTCCTAATCGCTTCCAGACACTTTCTTTTACATCATAATCGTATTATCATAAGTCAACGATGAGAGTGACGTCATGATAAAGATGTCATGCTCTTTTGATTCTTACCGTCTTCGTAAGGTGCAATGAGGTTAGAGCCCAACATGAACTGTTTAAGTTCTGTATAGACCCCTCTCTCACGACTTTTCTCCAAGATATTGGGATTCCCGTCTGCAGCGTGAATATTGTTGTATCCGAGTGAGTGAAGCTGATATTGTGAGAGAAATGAGAGACAATCGTGCTAAAAAGTAAAAATAAAATAAGATTTTTTTATTTTTATGTCTAACATACAAAATGGTATTCCTTCTTTTACTTTTTTAATTTTTTTACATCTCATCGATGGTTAAGGAGCTCGTGACTAATTCGCGGACTGCCTTTATCTTTCATTTTCATTCAGTAATATTTCAAAATTTTGCTACCACTGATGGAGAAAGAGACTCAGGATATTGTTAAAAGATCTCAAATCAGTTTTGCAGTCGTTCCGAAAAAGTGGGACCTGAACAAAGGTCCAGAAATCGTCTTATTCGACACGATACAATACTAAAAGAATAACAGTAAAATTAACAATTTCACAGTATATACGATATTTTGGCATTCTGCTATTACTTTGCCTTTAGTAGATTCATATCTTTAACAAACCATCTATAAACTCTTGCTTGCGCGTTGTTTGGACTCGTTCTGCTCCAAATGTTGTACGTTTCCGGTCCGATGCTGGTATCAAGGTAGTATGTCCTTTCATTTGTTTTTCCAATTTGAATTGAACAGGACGTGCGATATCCCAGATAACTTTTAAGTATGTGCGAACTTATTGTCGCTAGGAGGAATGACTGCATATTAGAGCAGATGATTCGGGATAAGGAATCTAAATGGCGGATCCACGAGGTAGCCGAAATCGGCCGCGCACCCCCCCCCCCCCCCCGCGACTTTTTTAAAACCTAGAAGAGTCCTCGTATAGCCCTGCATTTGAATATTTGCGTTGGTACTGTGTGGTGGAGATCAAACATTAAATCGGCCAGATTCTGGACTAAACAGTATGTCGCAATGATTATGGAAAAGTTTCGACCTGGGTAGTCATTCGTTTCCTGGTTTTCTCGCGATGTCATTTGTTTTAAGTAAACATAGCTTTGCATTTGTTATTTTTGTATGAAATCTCACTATTTGATAAATTACCGCATCAGGTTCTGTGTGCGTGCGTATTATGAATATTTATGACTAGCGCATGACGTATAGGTTTCTTTTGAGCCAATCAAATGCAGTGCTAGGATGGCTGGTATAGGTTTTAAAAAAGCCCCCCTCCCCCACATCCCCCTTTTGGCGACCTTAAGAGGGGAGGGGATAAGAGATATCAACAGAAGAAAATGGAGAATAAAAAGGGGGAAAAAGTAAAGGAGAAGAAGAGATGACGGAGAGAGAGAGGGAAGGGGAAAAAAAAAATCGCTATATACCCTGAGTAACGGGTCGGCAACGAATTGGATAGGATGGCAAACCAAATCCCACCGCAAGCTATGCTTATTAAATGCCTGCATAAACATTTATATCAGTGGCGGGTCTTGGAGGGGGGTGGTGAATCGGCCCTGCCCCTCCTTTTCTTTTCGGGGCCTTAACAAATGTAGATTGAAAAACGAGAGCCACGGGGAGAAAAATGAGAACAGAATGTAAAAGAAAATAATATAGAGGGAGAGAGGTAAAGAAGAGCGAGATAGAGAGAGAGAGAGAGAGGAGAGAGAGAGAGAGAGAGAGAGAGAGAGAGAGAGAGTGTTAGAAAAGAAAGAGCATGAAACTTAAAAGTACACATACAGATTACATTTTCGATGCG